CTTGTTCCCCTTTTTGATTGCCGATTTCAGAAAAGGGAGCAATTGAGAGGAACCCGCACTCCAATCATCTAGCCTGAAAAGTGCAGATGAATCCAAGTCATAGAACATCATCAGAGTAGGAAGAGACCTTGGAGGTCATCTAGCCCAACCCCCCTGCTCAAGCAGGAGACCTTATGCCTTTTCAAACAAGTGGCTGTCCAAATGATCCAGTTTAGTTAAAAAAAAAAAAAACGTGGATTCACCGCCTCTCTGCATTTATCCCATTTTTTAAAAAAAATTCCTCAACAAGAATGACTGTTTCTCCGGGGGGGGGGGTCTCTCAAATGGGGTTATTTAAAAAGAAAGATTCCCGATTCCACCAATTGTTTGAAATGATATTGTTTCAAATGGACAGGATCCAGTTTTTAATTCACTTCCTACTACGGGAAGTCCTCAGCTTACGACCCAATGAGCCCGATGTTTTTGCTGCTAAGCGAGACCTTTTTTAAGTGAGCTTCGCTCCATTTTACGACCTTTCTCTGCCCGGTTGTTCAGTGAATCGCTGCAGTTGTTAAGTTAATCATACGGTCGTTAAGTGAATCTGGCTTCCTCCATTGACTTTGCTTGCCAGACAGTCTCAAAGGCGGGGGGAGATCACGTGACCCCACGACGCTGCAACCGTCGTAAACATGAGTCGGTTGTCAAGCAACCGAACGTAAATCACGTGACCCTGGGGATGTGAAAAACAGCCATAAGTCCCTTTTTCCAGTGCCGTTGTTATTTCAAACCGTCGCTAAGTGAACTGTTGTAAGTCGAGGACTATCTGTATAGCTTCAGGTTGGGGATGTGCAAGTCCCTTGCTTTCCTGCAGAGGTTTCAGGTTAACAAATAAACCAGTTAAGAGAGATTTCCTGCCTCTTATTTCCTGGGAGCTCAAGAGGGTTTGGAGTAGTTGAAAAGCTTCTGAATATAACAGCAGGAAAAGTGGATTTCTTTCCAAGCCCAGCACGGAGAATCTATCATTTTGAGCTACTCATAACTAGGTGTAATGTACAGAATTGGTCCTAGTAGACCAGCTGGACTGCTGTGTTTGAAGGGCAGTTCGCTGGATTTGTCCCTTCGGCTCCGACGTCTCCTGCATTACAGGTCGACAGGTTGCTCTTTTTGACCAGCCAGGTTGCTCACGCCTTTGTGTATCACCACAACTTCCTTCCCCCCCCCGCCCTCCTTCCAAATGGCATCTCCTGCATGACAATTAGGCACTGATTTGATTTCTCTCCTAACGGCACGAACCCCATTAAAACCCAATTCAGCTTATTATCAACAGCTTTCCTTAAATGAAACCACTGGCTCCCTGGGGGATTCAGCTAAAGCCAGACGAGACGACAAAAATAACACACACACACACACACACACCAGGTTGCTATGCAGAAAAAAAGGACAACATTGCTATGCTGCCTCAGATCAATGTCCATCATGTCCGGCGTTAAGGTTTCCAAGGATGGCCCACCCACTCTGGATGTTGTGGATGCTAAACCATTCTGGACAGATGCCTCTCCAGTCTCTTCTCCTTGAAAACCTCCAGGGGTGGAGCACCCCCAGCTTCACATGTAACACGCTTAAATGTATGTAAACATGTGCCTTTTAGAAGGAAAGTCCTGTAAGCAGTCCACCCTTCATTCGTTGATTAATAATAATAATAATAACAACAATAATAATAATAATACCACCATCAAACATCCACATCTGCCTATCCCAGGTCCTCGGTAAGGACTCAGGTAGACAAAAATGTCAAATCCAGTCTGAACATCTGGCTGACTGTGCGATGATCCATAATAATAATAATAATCGTGCAACAGTGGTACCCATTGCCATCGGGGCACTGGTAACTATGTCCAAAAACTTTGCAAAATACATCAAGAAACTGCGGCTTCCTGCAATAACTCCAGCAATGCTACAAAAAAACTGCGCTACTCAGAACATCTTATATTTTAAGGAGGTACCTGGTTGACACCTAGGATGCTGACAGCAACCCGTGTCAACCATCAGCGCCAACCAACTTGAATGTTCAGTTGACTGAAGTTCATGTCTAATGAATAAAATATAATAATAACAATAACAACAATAATAATAAAGTTGGAAGGGACCTTGGAGGTCATCTAGTCCAACCCCCTAATCAGGGAGGAAACCCTATGCCATTTCAGACAAATGACTGTCCAGTCTTTGTCAGTTGATCCTAGGGGACGGTGACTTTATTTTAGGAAAGGTGGTGGGAACGGCAAGCTACCCTCTCTTGTCAGCCAATCAATCTCCTTTGAATATTTCTCTCCCCCCCCCCACTAAGGTCGTTGCATTTCAGGAGCCTGTCCACACACTTAGAAGAGACAGAAGAAGCAGCTAACTATGCAATGAACAATTGAGGGAATGGGTGATTGGACCAATATCACTTACCCAGCTTTCATGCCTAAGGCAGGATTAGAACTCACCATCCCCTGGTGATCGGCCCAAAGTCACCCAGTCAGCTTTCATGCCTAAGGTGGGACTAGAACTTACCATCTCAGGAAAACCAGGAGTATTTTTACCCCCTCTTCCCCAATCGCAGAGAGAGTCATACCGTCAAAATCAGGAACAAGAACAACGGTGTGTGTGTGGTCATAAATGTATTTATTGCTCAATACAGAGCAGAGTCAATGTTTCAGATGAAGATGTAGCAGTCAACAACCTGCGTGAATTACTTTTTTCAGTGCTGTTGTAACTTCAGTCACTAAACGAGTGGTTTTAAATTGAGGACTACTTGTATATCCAACCTGTAGTCCTGGCCAAAGTTTACAGTCCATGCAAAGCCGAAAGGAAACAGAGTTCAGAGCCCAGTTTGGCAGTTTAGCAAGTGAGGGTTAAGAAAAATATCAGCCTCTCTAGTCAGTTGTTTTTCTCTGCAAGCAGGAAGAATGGGAAGAAAAGGAAGACAGAGTGATGGATTTGAAGGGAAAGGACGCCCTCTGCTGGCCAAAGCTTGGAAATATTTTCACTATCCAATACAACCTCAGCAACTTTAAGAGGAGTGGACTTTGACTCCCAGAATTCCTCGTGTTGGGCTTGGGAATTCTGGGAGTTGAAGTACACTCATGTTAAAGTTGCTGAGGTTAGGAAGCACCGATCTCAGGCGCTCTTTCGACAAAGGGTCCTCTCCAGTGGTGGGATTCAAATATGTGAACAACCAGTTCTCTGTGTGGATGCCGCTTCTGGAAGTCCGTTCTGGGCCTGGGCAACAAAAAAATTAGCTGCTGGTTCTGCCGAAGTGGTGCAAACTGGCTGAATCCCATCACTGGTCCTCTCTTTTGGTTGTCATAGCAAACTGGACCTTGAGAATTAACTCCAGGAGGCGGAGGAGGAAGAGGACTGTGGGTGTGTGTCCTTGGTGCTCTCTGAGCTTGGCTGTTTTCTTGCAGATGTTTCATTATCCAACTAGGTAACATCATCAGTGCTAGAAGGGAGTGGGGTTTGCAGAAAGGAGGACTGGGGGAGGTCCTTGCACGGTTGATAATTGCCTCTTCTCTAATAAAGAACAATAACAGAGTCTAATGTTTGGGAAACGTGTAACGCCTCAGAGACATAGGAGAGAAAACCTTGCATTAAAAAAATGAAAGGGACAAGGCATTCCATTTTTTGGGGGGGGGACCTTGCTGCTCTCTGAGCGTGGCGATTTTCTGGCAGGCGTTTCATTACCAAACTAGGTAACATCATCCGTGCTAGAAGGCAGTGAGGTTTGCAGAGCGGAGGAAGAGAAAGTCACTCTTTTCCCCAAAGCACACGTAGCCCATCAACAAAGTCCTAGAACCCATTTCAAAGGATAAAGAACGAGGAAGTCGCATGTCTTGGCTCTCTCTCCCCAGATTTTTTTTTAAAAAAATGCTCAATATAGTAAACCCCCACTACCATCTCCACACGCTGCCCTCCAGAAATGTGAGATGACACATTCCATAACTTACATGTCATCCGAAGCTTCTGAAGGACATTGCACCGAGGAAGGCCAAGACAGATCACTTGGCATCCATCGTTGTGTTATGAAATACGTCCCTAATTTTATCTCCCTTTCCTGGAGCAGATCCTGCTGATCTGTGAAGAGGGGGGGGGGGAGAAGGCAACCCAAGGGATTCTGGAAAACAATTTGTCAGCCAGAGAGACGTCTTCAAGCCGGGCTGACAGAGAAAAATCTACATCTCCATTTGATTAAGTGCCTGCCAAGCTACTTTTCCCCTGGGTGGGTCAAAGGGCCAGGAAACGAAGCACGGGAAAACAACAATGCAGTGTCTACACTTGGATATGTATATTTTAATCTCCGTTGAAAGCATTGGTCCTTTCTGATGTTCGCCTAGCGGCTAGCCAATCCTGCAGGATTCTTTTTTTATATTAATGGGGAGGGGGTATTTGATACGCCAGTTATATTGTGCTCCATCACTGGAGGCTTTCAAGAAGAGACTGGACAGCCATTTATCCAAAATGGTATAAGGGGCTCCTGCTTCAGCAGGGGGTTGGACTAGATGACCTCCAAGGTCCTTTTCAATCCTATTCGTCTATGTTCTGTGTTAAAACACACCTCTTTTCAGAGGGTGGCCAGCACGCTTGTCTCTATTATGTAGAAATGAACAGAAGTGGCCAAGATTTTATTTTAATTTTCAACATTATTGCTTGCTCAAGGCAAGCTTCAAATCAAACCTTCTGAATTTGGCTCCTGGTAAATTTAAAGAGATGATTCAATGATTTCGCTTACAAGGAGAAAAGAGGAGCCAGCGTTTTTACATGCAAGAAGAGCTGTCATCTGATTAAATAAACCTTAGACCTCTTAATTAATCACATGCACGTAATGCGCTGGTAAATTGTGCATACATTTACATATGATTAGAAACAATACTTCTGAAAGACAGGCCTATTTTTGGATGAGGCCTATTTAACGTTTGGTTCTTTTTTTTTTTTAAGAAAGAAAAGATAGAACACCTTCTCAATAGGCTACACAACTTAAATGTCGAATGCTGCTGCGCAGAAATAAACGTTTATTATCCTGGGACATGCTATATACAGTAGCATCAAGTTGTGATCATGTATGTCCACTAGGGGGCACAGAAAGTCAGGAAACATTCAAATTTGTCAGAAAAGGACAGAAGGAAGCAATGGGGGAAAATGTTAGTTGTGAGGCTCACCTTGCTCCAAATTTAAATTTCATGAACTAGCTTTGGGGGAAATTGTTGGAAAAATTAAATGTACACCTGTCAGGGCCATACCTTTATTAGGCCAATGCAAAAGGTCACAAAATAATGTTCAAAACAGTTAACAAAGGCAGGAAAAGGGCAGGAAAAACTTGGGAGTGTCCAAATGTCTATGAGATGCTCAGTCAAAGATGCTTTTTCAAGGACTTTGTTTTTCTTTGAAGACGTTGCGCTTCTCACCCAAGAAGCTTCAGTCAGAGCTGAAGAAGCTTCTGGGATGAGAAGTGAAACGTCTTCAAAGAAAAACAAGAAAGTCAGTCCAGCTGCCTCTTGCAAAAGCCCCTTTGAGACTTGGGAGTGTCCATTTACATCCAAATGCATGAAAAGGAGTTACAGAGATTCAAACTAGATTCTGACAGATGCCACGATAGGTTCAGCTCAGCCTGCATGACAGTCCTTTGAATTTTATGCTCTTACAGGTAGTCCTCACTTAACAATCGGTTGCCTAGCAACTCTTTCCAGTTACGGCAGCCCCTCTGAAAGGTACTTAGGACCCAATTTTAAAGTTCTGAAGCTCGCCTCATCCTTCACATGCATTTGTGATCGTATCTTGGGTGCTTGGCAATTGGCTCATATTTACAGCCCTTGGTGACCGCAATTTTCCATGTTTTTTTGTGCGTTTCTGGCATTTACTTTCCAGTTTCCCAAAAACATCAATTGGATAAAATCGATCTGCTTAACGACCATCGCAAAACGGTCAGAAAATCAGGCATGGTGAACTGCTTAACAACTGCAGTGACTTACTACAGAGGTCTTCAAACTTGGCCCTTTTATGACTTGTGAACTTCAATTCCCAGAATTCCTCAGCCAGGCAGGAATTATAACAAGTCTGGGTCCAATTACAATCATAAAGTCAAGGACTATCCACGCTGCAATTTACAACCCAGACACGTGACATAAGCCACCTTTGCCTTAATCTAATAATTCCTTCTGTTGTTCAGTTTAAGAGGTGTTTTTTTCTGTTTTTGACATAGTGCCTTCTTTTTTAGAGAGACCAAGCAGACGGAGAAGCATGAAGCAAACAGTTCACACCCCCTCTTCCCACTTCAGAACAAAATGCCCTGATGATTAATAACCGGAGGTAGTCTTCTCTTTCCATAAATCTATCTTAATCTTTTTAAAAGCTCTTTTCCTTAGAGACCCCATTGCCCGTATCTAGACATTCGATTTTTTCTCCAATATTCAAGCAATGTCGAAAGTCAGAAAAATAGGAAATTTTCTGGCTGAAATCCTGCTGGCTGAAAATTTAAGTTTCGATGTTTCTCAGAAGTCCCGGATTCTTGCAATCTCCTCCCATCTGCCTTCCGCAGCCTAGGCGGTCACCCAGTTGCCATCACGGCCGTAACTTATTGAGAAGGACGAGAACTGTAACCCAACAGAGAGGACATCAACTTGGGAAAATCAGAACCGAGTAGATAACGTGCGTATCATCACCCAGATACTGAAATTGATTCTTCTTTCACGGAATTGACGACCAATCTTAGAAAAGGGAGGTCAAAGATCAAGGCAATCAGTTGACCTCAAGTATTAAACTTCCATCTAAGGGGAGAATTTGCCCCCTTCTCTTTTCTAATGAATTCAGAACTCTGTCCGGGGGTATTTTAATGCAGATGCCTGTCTACACTCTTGGCCATTCTGCTGGCTTTCTCAATCTACAAGTGGTCCCACGTGACTGATCGTTGATTAGGAACTTAATGCCTATGTCCAAATTTCAGCTGAGTCTTTGAGGCAAACCTTTGAATCCAGTTATTTGTGGATTTCCACCCGTTTTGCTCCGCTTTGCAGCTGCAAGGACCGGGCAGCAGGCTAACTCAAGTTCTTCCAGAAGGTGAAGTTGCGGGCTGCCAAAAGGAAATCAGTCTTAAGCAAAGGAAGCCAACCAGCTGATTGCCAAGTTGTGTATCTCTCTCTGCCACGTTGCAAGTCTCATCTTAAGTCCTTGGTCAGTTTCTCGAGCTCTTTCATACTGACAGAAGGTCTGGGGGGAACTCCCCATAGCAGTATTTTGCAATGGGGTTGCGATAGGTGTTTTCATGCTGCACGCTCTGGGGAGGAGAGGAAAGACAAGAGGAGAAAGGTTTAGGCCAGTCAAGAGGAACCGATCGCTAGGAAATGCTACGGAGGAAGTGAAGTCCCCTCGTTCGGTCTTCGTAGACAAAAAGATTTGGCTTCCGTGCCACTCAGTGTGAACGTTGTTCAGAAAGGTGCAACTACAGAGAACAAGAAAGATGACCCTGAAAGAAGGATGCAAGAACTAGGCAAAGGGGGCTGGGACAGTTGTAAGCTTTGGGAAACATCCCTCCATAGCCCCCCCCCCGCTCCATCCTGCCTAATCGATGAAGCTTCTTGCTCAAGGAAAAAACAGTCCAGTTGCCTTTTGAAAAAGCACCTTCCAAAAAGCTCTTGGAAATGACGGAGGAGGAGGAGGAGGAGGAGGAGGAGGAGGAGGAAGAAAACTGGAGGGTCCTTAGTGCTCTCTGAGCTGGGTTGTTTTCTTGCAGACATTTCATTACCCAACTAGGTAACAACATCAGTGCTAGAAGGGAGTGGGGTTTGCAGAGAGGAGGAGGAGGAGGGGGGAGAACAGCACAGTCAAGAGTCTATTATAGCAGATCTAGTCCTAGTCTCCCTGTGCAGTTGACTTCCTGTTCTGGTTTACCTTAGTGGAGCCTTTTGACCGCTTTACAAAAAGCAGTAAATTATATGAGGTTGATAAGCCGCTACTGGCAAGAATGCATGTCACGCTGAGTCTATGAAAATGTGCCCTTATTTACATTTGATTGCTAATTTCTGCTTGTCCTCATGTGGGCCAGACAGGGTCAGATGTGGCCTGGGAGGGGTGGGGGAGGGAGGCATAAAATGCCCAGATCTGCCCAATTTAATCCCCAACCGATGGCTGTCCGATCTCTTCTTTACAGCTTCCAGTGATGGAGCACCCACACAATTTCCCTTTCCTTACCTGTGAGGAGGTCCTGCATTTAGCCAGGCAGAGCTCAAAATGATCTTCCACAGCCATGAAGAGATTGCGGAAGGCCACCGCCGCTCGGCTTAGAAAATGCTCAAGGAGCTGTTGCTATAAAGCAAGAAGGGGGGGGGGGAACAAACAGGAAGCTCACAAAAACCAGAAGCGCCCAATGGAGAAGGATTTCATTGAGCACCTCTCCCTACGACATGACTCAGCCAATCATCTCCCAGGAAATACAGTGGTACCTCGATACTCGTCGTTAATTGGGCACAATGACTACGACTTACTAAAATCAACAAGTACCAAACAAACTGTGTAACCTGAACCCCTGACCCTTTGTTTTTAGCCAGAAAGGGTTGCGGGTCAGGAGGCAGCAGACACTGACAAGGTTCTGGTTTCAAAGTTCTGATGTCCTGGCTTCCTCCATGGTCACACGATTGAATTTATAGAGCCCTGAGGTCCCATGACCATATTTTATGATGTGTTGGCCAACTGCAACTCTTTCCTCCCTCTCCCAAGGTCCTTCGCACGTGCCATTAGAACCATTTACCTTGTTGGGCTGTAAGCAGCAGGACACACAGGCCTCGTAAACGCTGCAACATCCACTGGGCAGGCAGCTGTCACAGCTGTACAACTTGACGCCGGGCGCCTCCACGTTGCAACACCCATTCACCAGCAGGTCCTTCCTTTCGCAGATGTAGCCTGTCGCAGAAAAACTCTAGATGATGCTGAGCAGGAGGAGAAGGGAAGGCTGTGCGTCACAGTGCAGAAGCCGAAATGCTGGGCTGAACACTGACTCCGTCTACCCTTGAAGCAGTTTTCAGAGATTTCAAAGAAGCCAGTTATTTGAATTTTTGCACAGGCTCAGAGGCATGGTTATTGTGAAGGACACACATTCAATTTTGCAGCTACCAAGATTGTTGGACGAGCAGGCACAAAAACAGCCAGGGAAGTGACCGAAGCCTGGGAAACAAGTCCCTTGCCAGTCAACAGTAGGGCTGATTTACCACCAGCTTATCCAGTACTTAGGAAGCGAGGGCTGGGCAGCACAAGCAAACAACTCAATAGTCAGCCATCAACACCCCAATCCACATCTAAAAAGCCACATACAACAGGCACTAAAAGACCACACGCAGAACACACTCTGCTAGAGAGAAGTTCCCTAAAAATGGGCTGCAGCACAAGTCCAAAAGCTTGGAAGACAAAATCGTTGGTCCCAGTGACAGACCCAGATTGGATTATCCCGGAACACATATATTCGCTTTCGTTCGTGAGGACCTTACCCAACTCATCTGTGATCAACAATTTTCCTTGGACAGAGTTCCGACACTGGTTATTCGGCTGGCTGCTGTTCGCCAAGCTAAAATGGACTTTCCAGGCAATGGGGTGGTCTTCATCTTGACCTTGGAGGAAATTCCGATCCCGCAGCACTCTCTCTTCCTAAAGGCAAAGATGAGACACGTGGAACATGAAAGGAGATGTCTGATCTTGTTGTGGGGTAGACTCAAGAGTCAATTGTCTTGTGTATTGTTTTAAAATCCCTTGCCAATGCCAGATTCTTTTGAGTGACACCTCTGAAAGCTCCTTGAAATAAATTCATTAAGCAGCTTATTAGTTTCTGGATAAAATGTTTCAGCCCAGTTACCTCCAAGGCTTCTGAGGGTAGGACAAGAAGCAATGGGTGGAAGCTGATTAAACAAAGATCCAACTTGGAACTAAGGAGAAATGTCCTGTCAATAAGAACAATTAATCAATGGAATGGCTTGCCTCCGGAGGTTGTGGGTGCTCCATCACTGGAGATTTTCAAGAGAAGATAGTTTGACATGGTAGAGGGTAGAGGCTAAAGCAGAACTAGAACTCACTGTCTCCTGGTGATTGGACTAAAACCACCCAGGCGGCTTGCACGGCTAAAGCAGAACTAGAACTCACCGTCTCCTGGTGACTGGACTAAAGCCACCCAGGCAGCTTGGACGGCTAAAACAGAACTAGAACTCACCGTCTCCTGGTGATTGGACTAAAACCACCCAGGCGGCTTGCACGGCTAAAGCAGAACTAGAACTCACCGTCTCCTGGTGATTGGACTAAAACCACCCAGGCGGCTTGCACGGCTAAAGCAGAACTAGAACTCACCGTCTCCTGGTGACTGGACTAAAGCCACCCAGGCGGCTTGGATGGCTAAAACAGAACTAGAACTCACCGTCTCCTGGTGATTGGACTAAAACCACCCAGGCGGCTTGCACAGCTAAAACAGAACTAGAACTCACCGTCTCCTGGTGATTGGACTAAAACCACCCAGGCGGCTTGCACAGCTAAAGCAGAACTAGAACTCACCGTCTCCTGGTGATTGGACTAAAACCACCCAGGCGGCTTGCACAGCTAAAACAGAACTAGAACTCACCGTCTCCTGGTGATTGGACTAAAGTCATCCAGCCGGCTTTCAGGGCTAAAGCAGAACTAGAATTCCCAGTCTCCCAGTTTCTAGCCCGGTGCCTTAACCACTAGGCCCCAAACCCACTCTGGGGATCCAACAGAACGTTCCCAGGATCTGTCAGGGGCCCCTTTCGGCCTCCGCCTACCACCCTCCCCCAGTCTGGCCCCCGGCCTTCCTCGCAGGGGTGTTCCGAAGAAGAAAGGAGCGCGCAGTCACAAGGGAGTCGCGACTGACCTGCTTGAAGGTGCTGTTGAGGAAGTAGATGAGCGAGAGGCCGAAGACGAGGCCCAGCACCCATCGCTTGCGCAGCAGCCTCCGCCACAGCAGCGCTACCAGCTGCACCATCTGGAGGGAGGCTCGGCGCCAGCCGGCGAGCGCGCGTCTCCCCGGCGCCGGGGCGAGCGGGCGGAGGATCGGGCCCTTCCTTGGCCTCGCGGACCCGGGCTGGGAGCGGGGAAAGGGGCCCCCCGCCCCATTCCCAGGGCCGTCAGCCCCTGGGAGCCCCCTACCCCTCTACCTACTCCGCCCCTGGCCGGAGAGACCCCCCCCCCTCCAGAAGAGGACAGAGAAAGGGTGGGCGGTGGCAGTTGCAAGCAAGAAGCCCCCCCCCCCTGGGAAATCCGCCCCCTTCGGCTCTTTGCGAAGCCCCCAGCCCCCGCCTAGCCAAGGGGACGAGGCGAGAAAGAACCGGGTGGAAACGGCAGAGAAGGAAGAAGCGCTCCGGTTCAAAGGGAAGAGAAACTGATCCGGTTTAAGGAGGTGCAAAGAGGCCGATCCGAACTAAGCAGGAGAGAGGAAGGAGGAGAGAAAAGAAAGAGGGAGGGAGGAAGGAAGGAAGAGAGGAGGGGAGAAGCGACCCTGCAGTGTCCCCCAATCCCCCCGTGCGCCCTTCCCTCCTGGTCGCCCCCCCTCCCCGCGCAAGGCCAGAGAAAGCCCGGGGGTTGCTCCGGGTCTACCGTAGCAGCAAATACCCGGGGAGGGGCGGAGTCGGAAGTCACATGCTCGGCTGGAAGAGGGGGGAGGGGAAAGGAAAAGCTGGGGGAGGGTCAGGCCGGCCGGCTCTCGGGGACCAGGTAAAGTGCTACGTGGGGACCCTCAAACACGTCTCGCAGCGCGGACTGGGGAAAGACCCCTTGGTTTCGCCCTCTTTCCAGTCCCGGGGGGGGGGTTGGTAGGTTCAAAAGGAAAATCCGGAGGGCGATCGCAGCGATCTTGGCCTCCCCTCACGCCCACCCCCCCCCCCGACCCTCACCTGGAATCCTTCCTTTGAAACTCCTGCCTTTGAACTTCACCCGATACCCCCAGGCCAGACTAGAAGAGGGGTACCCTGCCCATTTTTCCACACACCAAATATTTCCTAGGATTCTTGCATCGACACTCCCATGTGACCAACCCCCCCCACCCCCCCACCCCCGTTGAGGGTCTCACCTGGAAGCTTTGCAAGTTGCACACCTGGAATCTGCACACCAGGAGATGCAGTTTGGCTGTCTCCTTGGTCTCCTGTCTTGCAAGCTCTCCTGCAGAATGGCACAGCTGGGAGGCAGCTGTTGAAGGGCCATCCTTGGCGATCAATTAACCCAGGGGTCCTCAAACTTGGCCCTTTGATGACTTGTGGACTTCAACTCCCAGAATTCCTCAGCCAGGCATGCTGCCTGAGGAATTCTGGGAGTTGAAGTCCACGAGTCATCAAAGGGCTAAGTTGGAAGAGCCCTGAATTAACCCAAGGATCACGAATCTGTGCTGCCTTCTGAATCTGATGGGAGCTTTGAATCCAGGTGCTGAAAGGGCTTCCCAGTGATAAAGAGAGCCAGTCTCCTGTTGTGGTTCAGGTGTTGGCCTAGAAACCGGGAGACGATGGGCTCTAGTCCTGCTTAGGTAAGAAAACCAGCTGAATGACTTTGGGCCACTCGCCAGGAGATGGTGAGTTCTAGTCCCACCTTAGCCAAAGTCCTAAGGTGACTTTGGGCCAATCAACGGGAGACGGCGAATTCTAGTCCCACCTTAGCCAGAAACATTTATAGTTGGGGAAGTTTGATTTTTATCTCTTGATTCACGCTGCGGCCTTTGGCTGCTCTTTGTTGCAGGTGGGACTGTCCGGGCTATGTCTTTGAGGGCCCAGCATCCTCCTTGGGAACCCATAATCCTCTCCTACACCAGGCGTCCTTGACCTCCCACGTTGATGTGGGGCGTGTTGTGTTTCAAAGTGCTAAGAAAGATGCAGCGACGGCACAGCAGCATCACCGACAGCCTTCCACCTGAAAGGTAAGCCCGCCCTCATTTATACAGGTGAACTATGTCCCAGGAAACACCTGTTGCAGCAGACAAGCCAGGCATTAAACCAGATCATCCATTACCATACCTGCTGGCTGGCTGGAGCATTCTGGGAGTTGAAGTCCACAAGTCTTAAAATTGTCAAGTTTGCAGACCCCTGGATTAAGCTATAGCACATGTTAATATTCACAATAACACATCAAGGGCTGTCATTTAAAATATTAAGAACATAGATGGTTTTAATAACAGAATTGGAAGGGACCTTGGAGGTCTTCTAGTCCAACCCCCTGCTCAAGCAGGTGACCCTATACCAAGAGTCCCCAACCCCTGTTTCGTGGACCGGTACCGGGCCACAGCATGCCAGCAACCAGTCCGCACAAACAAGCAAAGCCCCATCCGCGGGATGCAGGCAGCACACAAAACCATGCCCCCTCCGGTCTGCGGAAAAACCTCTCTCCGTGGAACTGGTCCTTGGTGCCTCAAAGGTTGTGGACCTCTGCCCTATACCATTTCAGACTAATGGTTGTCCAGTCTTTTCTTAAAAAACCTCCAGTGATGGAGCACCCACAATTTCTGGAGGCAAGCTATTCCACTGGATAATTGTTCTCACTGCCAGGAAATTCCTCCTTAATTCCAGGTTGCTTCTCTCCTTGATTAGTTTCTATGCATTGCTTTTTGCCTTCCCTTTAGATGCCTTGGAGAAAGGGTTATATTAATAACTATCCACTTGTCTGAATGCACCATTCTCAGAATCTGCTCCAATCACCCTGAGCATGTTTTTCTGGATGAGTGCATGGAGACCCCCCTCATTTGTGGGTTAAACCCAACGGGACTCTTAAAAACACTCTCTTGTTAACTTGGGACTCCACGAGCCACTTCTATAAAACCTTGTGGCTTTCTTTATTCAGCTTAGAAGCCTCCTCAAATAATAGACATGTAACGTTCAACACCAAGCAGATAAAATAAGTTTAAAAGGGGGGCCATAGAAACACAGCATAGGTAAATAGCAGGCGGAATAAATAGGATTAAAACCAGGTGACATTCACCCAGTATCGGGCCCTTTCGACAGGATTTTTGCTTGCCTTGTTGCTAAAAACCCTTGTTATGTATAGATGGCAACCTGGCCTTGGAGGCTAGCTATAAAAATCTCGGTTTAAAAAAAGGTGTCCAGGGAGGGCTTTGCATGCTTTGAGATATCTAGAGAGGAGGGCTTGGAGCCGTGGAAAGCTTTGGGGAGAAGGCAAGAGTGGGGCCAATTCCCTTAATGCAAGTAGCAGCTCTAAACTTAGAAAGCTCCTGAGGGCTGGCAATCTAGAGAGGTTTTGCCACATTGCCCAATGTTGGTAAAGTCCCTTTTCAACTCTTTTACTATAGGACATTCCTTTTCTGCCCACCGAATGTTTCTTTTCCATTAATTAAGAGGATGGGCTTGCGCAGGTAGTCCTTGATTTACAAGGACTTCTTTATGACAGCCTCTCAAATATTGGAACACAAACAGTTTGGAAAGAGAAAGAAAGAAAGAAAGAAAGAAAGAAAGAAAGAAAGAAAGAAAGAAAGAAAGAAAGAAAGAAAGAAAGAAAGAAAGAAAGAGAAAGAAAGGAAAAGAAAAGAAAGGAAAGGAAGAAAAGAAAAGAAAAGGAAGGAAAGAAAGAAAAAAGGAAAGGAGGAAAGAAAGAAAGGAAAGAAAGGAAGGAAGGAAGGAAGGAAGGAAGGAAGGAAGGAAGGAAGGAAGGAAGGAAGAAAGAAAGAACTACCAGGAAATTTCTCCTTAGTTCCAGGTTGCTTCTCTCCTTGATGAGTTTCCATCCGTTGCTTCTTGTCCTGCCTTCAGGCGCTTTGGAAAATAGCTTGATTCTCTCTTCTTTGGGGCAGCCCCTCAAATATTGGAAGACTGCTGTCATGTCCCCCCTAGACCTTCTCTTCATTAAATTAGATGAAAAGGCTAGGAAACTGCAAAGGAAGACAAATATTAATATCACTAATGATACATTCTGTTTTCTTAGGAGAAAGGGAAGAGATACTGTGTTTCGGTATCGTTTTGGCAAGACTGTTTTCTCATTTAATTTGGTTTGCATCCCGGAACGGAATAAAGTATATAGCACAGTGTTGTTGTTGTTTTTCCAGATCTGGCAACTTTTAAGATGTGTAGACCTCAAACCCCAGAATTCCCCAGCCAGACACTGTGCTTTGTAAATCATACTAGAATAGAATTAGAATTAGAATAGAATAGAATAACAGAAAGAATAGAATAGAATAGAATATGGAATAGAATAGAATAGAACAACAAAATAGAATAACAGAAGGAATAGAATAGAATAGAATAGAATAGAATAGAATAGAATAGAATAGAATAGAATAGAATAGAATAGAATAACAGAAAGAATAGAATATAATAGAATAGAATATGGAATAGAATAGAACAGAACAGAATATAATAGAATAACAGAAAGAATAGAATAGAATAGAATAGAACAGAATAGAATATGGAATAGAATAGAATAGAACAGAACAAAATAGAATAGAATAACAGAAAGAATAGAATAGAATAGAATAGAATAGAATAGAATAAAATATGGAATAGAGTAGAATAGAATAGAATAGAATAGAATAGAATAACAGAAAGAATAGAATATAATAGAATAGAATAGAATAGAATAGAATAGAATAGAATAGAATAGAATAGAACAGAATAACCCCCTCCAATATACACTGCATAAACATGACCAAAATAATAATAATAAATAAATTGTTTGAATAACTATCTACTGGTCTGGATGCACCTCTCTCCAGAATATCCCATCGGTTTCTCCAACCGACCTGAGCACATTTCTGAAGGGCAACAGAAAGTTATAGATGTAAGTCAAAGACTACCTGTACTGTTTCTCACCCCCCTCACCCCCCCATGTCTTCCAGAAGCCGGAGCCAAGCCATCACCTCAGAGACCAGCGTGGACCAAGGGGGAGTTTTCGAAAGCCTGAAGACGGAAGCCCCCTCCCCTCCACCGCTCTTCTCGGGGCTGGGGGGAATCCCATCAGGCAGTATCTCTGCCACCCCTTTCCAGTCCAGTTTGCTCCTCGGGTCCTCAGCTGGAGGGGGCGAGGTCTTCATCCAGATGCCCGCCCCTCGGGAGGAGGGACCAAGCCGGACAGAGGCGGGGCTCTATCACTACCGGCAACCGCATCATTACCATCACAGCCACCAGCGGGGGTCCTCCCTTCTGCATATGAGTGGCACTGACCGCCACGGGCATCCAGAAGAGACCCCCGATGACCAGCCTGGCACGCCGGCCCCGGCTCTTCCCGAGTTGAAGGTGGTCATCTCCTGGCTACAAGACGGCCTGCCGTTCATCGTCATCCTGCTGGCTAAACTTTGTTTCCAGCACAAACTGGGTAAGGGGCTGAATTGAAGGAGAGAGGCGGGTCTTCCCAGAAGTGGTTTGCATGCATTTGGGTATATTTCACTCCCCCCTCTTTTTTTAAAAAAATAAATAAAACGGCATTGATTCTGTATTAGCATTTATTCACATTTATGCTCAACTCTGTCTTACTGAATAAAAGCACTTGGTTAACCGACTAGGTAGAGGGGTTCCCAACTGGGGGAGCGAGACGATATTCCAGGGGGTGCGAAAACCTGGGGGTTATAAATTTCAAAATTATAATGTACGTGCGTAATTCATTGCCGTTATTTCGGACTTTCGCAATATATTAGAAGCATTCTAGGGGTGTATAGAAAAGATTGGGAACCGCTGAACTAGGAGATCAGCATCTTCGTGCACCAGTTATAGCAGTCTTCCAATATCTGAGGGGTTGCCCCAAAGAAGAAGTAGTCAAGCTATTCTCCAAAGCACCTGAGAGCAGGACAAGAAGCAACGGATGGACCCTAATCAAGGAGAGAAGCAACCTGGAATTAAGGAGAAATTTCCCGACAGGGAGAAGAATTAGTCAGTGGAACGACTTGCCACCAGAAGTTGTGGATGCTCCATCATTGGAGGTTTTTAAGAAAAGACCAGGGGGCCATTTTGTCCAAATTAGTGTAGGGTCTTCTGCTTGAGCATGGAGTTGGACTAAAAGACCTTCAAAGTCCCTTCCGATTCTGTAATTCTTTTATTCTGTTATTTGGTTCTCATGTTTCTTTGAACCTGGAGGACGAAGGCGAGGCAAAAATCCATCCTGGTGCATGGGAACCAAAGGATCCCATCTGGAAGCACAGAATGAAATGGCTGTTAGGGCCATTAATGTCCGATTGAGAGCTCTCTCTGTTTCCCTTACAGGAATTGCCCTCTGCCTGGGCATGGCCAGCACATTTGCATATGCAAATTCAGCCCTTCGAGAACAAGTCTCTTTAAAGGTGGGTCCGGGCCACCCTTCGGGAAATAAGAGGCCGAAACGGGCCTCTCGCGAGACAGACGGCATCATTTTGCTCCACCTGTAATGGAAAGACCTTGCCAGACAGGGCGAAGTTATGCTGCCTGGGCAGAGCGAGATAAGAGACGGCACAGCCCACAGCTGCATAATGGGTGGAGAAAATCACTCAGAAGGGACCTTCCCTAGTTTCTCAGGCTGTAAAGGAGATGGAGGAGATTCTACTTGCAAGATTCACATTCTCACCCGCACACAAACACACACACACACACACACACACAGAAATACGTTGGTCGTTCTCACGGCTACCGAGTTTAGCTGAGATGTTAGAAGGTGGAAAGTCGCCTATTGTGATTTTTCTTTCCTTCTAGGAAAAGAGGTCCGTTTTCGTGATTTTCTGGATCGTGGTCTTCCTGGCAGGAAACACCCTGTATTTGCTCTACACCTTCAACTCCCAACAGCTGTATAACAGGTGAGTCAACAGCTTCCTCCTCTACTGACAAAAAGGGACTCTCCATCCAAGGCCAAGAGGTTAATTATCCCATCTTATCCTATTAATTATTCCATCCTATCCTATTAATTATCCTAGCCTATCCTATCTAGCCTATCCTATCTAGCCTATCCTATTAATTATCATATACTAACTTATCCTATCCCATCCTATCCTATCCTATACTATACTATTTAGCCTATCCTATTAATTATCATATACTAACTTATCCTATCCTATCCTATCCTATCCTATCCTATACAGCCTATCCTATTAATTATCCCATCCTATCCTATAAATTGCCCTGCCCTGCCCTCCTTTGTCCTCCCCATCCTATCCTATCCTATCCTATCCTATCAATTATCCTATCCATTATCCAATTCTATCAATTATCAGATCCTATTCTATCAATTATCCTATTCGATCCATTACCCTGTCCTATCTGCCACGAGAATACTTCATCCCAAACTATATTTATGGGTGCAGATTTTTAATCCATCGGATTATAAGAATTCCCACCCAAAAGCAGTAAAATGAAAGAGACGAACTTCCCTTTGGAATCTGAATTGCTACAAAGAAATAAAATCGGTTTTGTATCTCTTCCCTCCTTGCCCTCTGTTCTGTCCATCTTTTTGTAACCTCATACTTCTGATTGTGTTTGGCGTTTTCCTTCATTTACTGTCGTCTAACGTGGATTTCATTTTTTTTTTAACTAGCTCATTCATTTTGGCTTGTTTGGTTTTGTTTTTTAGGATTTAATTTTACCCGTAGTGCTGTGCCATATTGTGAGTACTTTGATTTTGATTCTCCCTTCCCTCTGTTTTTTTATTTTATTTTATGTTATCACCATCTCATATAAAATTGTGCTGTAACCAAATCTGAAACATTGTTCGAAGAGATGTAGAAGTTTTTGTCTGCAGAAGATCAGATGTCAGTCGCTGCCCTTGAAAGTGACACAAATGGATTTGGTGTTTCTTGAGAAATAAAACGTTGTTGTTGTTTTTTAATGCTCCTGTTGCAGGTCCTTCCATGATTATGTTAACTTCATTTCAGATTTTGTCCCTTGTTTGCGTTTATTCAGAATTGCCTTGCTGGAAAGATTTATTGCAATATTCAAGCAGGGATTTATTTCTGTGGCAATGTTTGAAAATATTATTTGATTTAGGAACACGTTTATCTTTGTTTTATTGGCTTAAATTAAGCGGCTTGCAGCTTCACAGCTGGGTTCCTCTCCTGTCCATCTTGCTGTTTTCCAGCCTCATCTTCCTGAAACCCAATCTGGAGAAGCTGGATTTCTTTGACCTGATGTGGATGGTGGGCATCACAGATTTTGTCCTGAAGTATCTCACCATCGCTCTGAAGTGCCTGGTGGTGGCCCTGCCCAAAATCATCCTTGCGGTTAAATCAAAGGTAGTAGCGCTATGATCTTGCTGTGCCGGGGGTGAGGCGCTATTCTTTTGAAATATGTCTTAAAATGGGGAGGGGTTTTTTGAGGCTTCCAGAATGATCCAGAAAGACAATAGCACGAGTTACTTAAAAAATCACAGGGATGGCTTAACCACCTGGCAGGAAAAGGTCAGCGATGACTCGCTCAAGAACAACCTTGCATTAGCAACACAAGTTCTGGTCCCCATTGTAGTCGTAAAACGAGGACTTCCTAGTTTATGCCTTGGTTTAGGTCTGGGTAGGTGGACCTCATGCCTCTGCTAAAAAGCAACGGCGCTCTAACCCTGTTCTTTCCCACAAATACAGGCAGTCCTCAAGTTACGACCACAGTGGAGCCCAACGTTTGTGTTGCTACGTGAGACATTTGCTAAGTGAGTTTGGCCCCGTTTCTGTTAAGTGAGACATTTGTTAAGTGAGTTTGGCCCTGTTTTATGACTTTTCTTGCCGTTGCCGTTCAGGGAATCGCTCCAGTTGTTAAGCGAATAACACGGCTGTTAAGTGTGGAATATGGTCATAACTCACATTTTCAGCGTCGTCCTAACTTTGAACGGTCACTAAGCAAACTGCTGTAAGTCAAGGACCACCTGTCGAGCTAAGGGATCTAAGGCTTCATCAATCGACCGCTTTCTTAGTATGTTCACCTAACTCAGCCCTTGAACGGTTTCTATTAGTCTTGCTTGCTAGTAATTGTTTGGCAACACAATGGCGGAGTTGTGTTTTCATGGACAAAAACGAGAGAGCTTGAGTCCCAAATCCCTGAATTCTCCTCCTGAGACCACTCCGGACCCTCCCCGGAGTCTTCCCAGTTTCTTTCCATTTTTCTGCTTTCCACCTTCGCCGGTGAACTTTGGCGATGAAGATAAATGGGGCTTCAATTAAAATCTCGGCTTGATTACTCTGCCAGGGCTGAAATGTCTATGATGGGGGTTGAAAGGACGCTAAGTAGGTGTTGCCTGGAATGGTTCGCCCGTGTTCTCCAGAAGGACTATTAATTTCTCTCTGGCAGGGCTCCAAGGATATTTCTCCCCTTTGATGATGATGATGATGGTGGTGGTGGTGGTGATTTTATTAGAGGAGATTAATGGGCTGGCCCACCAGATAATCCAGTGAAGGAGAGGGGAAAGGAAACGAGCGGATAAGCCATCATCGGCCCAAGACAAATGGCAAAGCTGGAAGGGGTTCACAGCCCTTGCTTGCTTGTCTATGAGCTGTCCCAAGTTCTCATTAATCCTTGTCCAACAGAAGAAAGAGGTTGCATCTGTATTTGGCGAGATTGCATCTGTCGAGGGGGCTCTAATAGCTCACAGCACAGATGCTGTTTCAGAATGGCATCTTCTGATTTGGGACGCTGGTCGCTCCTGAGTTGCAATTGTTTGGCCTTGTTTCATGTTGTGCACGCCCCTCTCTCTCTGTGTGTGTGTGTGTCTGCAAACTTTGGTGGATGGGGCTTAACCCTGTGGATAGCACAAAGATCTTCTCACAAGTTTGTGCATATCGTCCAAACAAATTTAAAGCTCAGCGTAACTCTGCCGGCGCGTCTGTTAACCCAGGATATTGGTCAATGATCTGAGAACTGGCAAAGAGCCGTTCTTTGATGTGGCTGGCAATGGAATTGGGGCATCTCCTGCCACCCAACATGGATGTTCAGACACAGGGTAGACAAAGAGTGATAATATGACATTTATTTGTATCCCACCTTTATTATTTTTACAAATAGCTCAAGGCGGGGAACATATCCAACACGCCTTCCTATTTTCCTCCTATTTTCTTTGCAACAACGACCCTGTGAGGTGGGCTGGGCTGAGAGAGTGTAATTGGCCCAAGGGCACACAGCTGGTTTTCATGACTAAAGGAGGTCTAGAACTCACCGTCTCCTGGTGATTGGCCCCAAGTCACCCAGCTGGCTTTCATGCCTAAGGCAGGACTAGAACTCACCGTCTCCCGGTGATTGGCCCAAAGTCATCCAGCTGGCTTTCAGGCCTAAGGTGGAACTAGAACTCACAGTCTCCTGGTGATTGGCCCAAAGTTATCAGCTGGTTTTTAGGCTTAAGGTGGAACTAGAATTCACTGACTCCTGGTGGTGCCCAAAGTCACCCAGCTGGCTGTCATCCTTAAGGCAGGACTAGAACTCACTGTCTGCTGGTGAATGGCCCAAAGTCACCCAGCTGGCATTCATGCCTAAGGCAGGACTAGAACTCACGATCTCCTGGTGATTGGCCCCAAGTCATCCAACTGGCTTTCATGGCGAAGGTGGGACTAGAACTCACCATCTCCTGGTTCCTAGGCTAGCCCCTTAAACCACCACAGCAAACTAGCTCTGGAGACGCCTTTGAAGTCTTCTCGACTGAGAAAGGTGCGAGAACCTCATAACTCTCAACGAGAAATGTGTCAAAGCATTTTTAAAAATTGAACGCGCCTGTTTGGGAAGCAAACCCAGAAGTCATTGTCAGCCTGGCAGTAGCGGGAAGTTGCTGCTGTATGTTTCGTGAATATTTAGCAAAGTGATTCAGGAACTGGGGGAGTGAGAAATCCAAGCATCTGGCAATTCCTAAATTCCCACTACTAAGAGTATGCCTTTCCTCTCTCCCCCCCCCACCCCACTCCCCTTCCTCCTCCTTGCTTCACACCCCTCAAGCTGTCACTTCTTAGCCGAGCAAATGAAATTCTGTCATTTGCCTGGTGGAGAACAATAAGTCCCATCGGCAGCCACATGGCTCGGGCTATTTTAATTTACTTTAATTCATTTTCAATGGAAGCAAAACGGCAACGGCGCGTCATTTGTTTTTAATCGGGGGGCGGGGGGGGCGTTCAACTTGGGAGAGGGGGCCGTCGCATTCCCCCCTCCCCAGGAACAGAAGGACACACCTGCTTTGTGCCACTTCCTCACAAGTTTCCTGGATGCTCTTCAGCTTCCTGTTGTAGAACGAAGGGAAAACTCGTCGTCGGCCTAGTCTGCCTTTCGAAGAGGCACACAAGAGAACATTTGGCAGGGCCCTGAGTAGCACAGCCGTCGTGAATTTGGGGAGAGGGGTTTGATAGATCGGGCCGGTCTTGGTGGGGTCTGTTCAAAAGGAGCAGCTGCCTTTTTGCAATGAGCAAAAAACGCTTTGAGTTGGGGGGAAGTTTGCGCATTACGCAAAGCCAACTTGGTCCTTCCGTCAAGGTTCGACGAATCAAAGGAGACAACTTGCTAAGAGAAAGAGAGGGAGAGAGAGAGAGAGAGGGAGAGAGAGAGAGAGAGAGAGAGAGAGGGAGAAGATAACATAGGTAGTCCTCGGCTTACGACCGCAATTGAACCCCCATCATTTCTGTCGCTCAGTGAGACCTTTGTTAACTGAGTTTTGCCCCGTTTCGCAACCTTCCTGGTCACTCCTGTTAAGCAAATCTGGCTTCCGTTGTTAAGTTAGCAACCCAGTTGTTAAGTGAATCTGGCTTCCCCATGGACTTGGCTTGTCCAAAGGTCGCAAAAGGAGGATCACATGACCCCCCTCCCCCCGGGACACTGCGACCATCATAAATAGGAGTCAATGGCCAAGCGGCCGAATTTTGATCACGTGACCGTGGGGACGCTGCAACGGTCGTAAGTATGAAAAATGGTCCTAAGTCCCTTTTTTTTCAGGGCTATTTTAACCCCGAACAGTCACTAAACGAACTCTTGTAAATCAAACTACCTGTAGTTTTTTTTTTTTTACTCAGTGTTATTAAGAGGCATCAACAGGCATCAGCTATAGCTCACTTCATCAGGTACACGGAGTGGCCAAAACCAATGTAGTTGCTACCACGTACGTTTAGCCAACTTGGGCATCTGATGAAATAACCTGCAATTCCTGGAAGCCTTGAATAAAACTTGTGAGTCCAAAACGCGGCCTTTACGTTTTTGCCACCGTAGACTCAAAAACAGCTCTCCTGCTACAGTTCATCTTTTGCCCAGCAGACAACACGGACTTTATTTTATTTACAGAGTACAGAATAACAGGGTTGGAGGTCTTCTAGTCCAACCCCCTACTCAAGCAGGAGACCTCTGTGTTATTTTTCTAAATAACCCAGAAGGGGCGGTAACACCTAGTGCTCCTCTCTGCTCCTGTTTTCTCCATAACAACATTCCTGTGAGGTTGGTTGAGCTGGCGGAGTGGTTGGCCCAAAGCCACTTAGCTGCCTTTCATGCCTGAGATAGGACTAGAATTCGCCATCTCCTGGCAATTGGCCCGAGATCACCCAGGGAGCTGGGTGGAACTAGAACTCACGGCCGCCTGGGTGATTGGCCCAAAGTCACTCGGCCTGCTTTCATGTCTAAAAGAGGAAAAATACCCTTCCCAATTGCAAAAACCCGGCCAGCTGGATGGGTCGGGGGCTTCTGTTCCCGGGGAAGACAGAGGGCAGCGGGCAGAGGAAAAACCTCACCCCCCCATCTGCCTTTAACTTTGAGGTTGCTCCAAAACCTCCATGTTAATCTGCTAAGTGGCCTCGCCCTGGGAGTCCTCTCGGTTGCCACTGCAGATATGTGGCACTACGTCCCTGGAGGTCTCTACAGCTCGGCTTGGCTTTGGAGCAGGCATGCTGGCGTGACTTCACTCCGCATTCCCCCAGGATATGAGATCATGAGAATGCCGAAATTCTCTCTGGGCTTCAGTGCGTTCAGCGGGCAAGAACAGCCTCCGAGTGATCTCATCTGGGTGGGGAGGACCGAGGGTGGGGGGGAAACAGGGCCCATTGCTGCTCTTCTCCTGGCCCCTAAGGGGCTCTCTCTCTCTCTCTCTCTCTCTCTCTCTCTCTCTCTCTCTCGTCTTCCCCCTCCCAGTTCCTACTGGTTTCTTGTTGGACTGGAGGCTGTGGTATTCATTTTCTAGCCTCAAACAGCTTTCTGCGGGATCCTGACCTTTGTCGAACCGAGGCTGAAGGTGCCAGGGTTCGGGGAACATCCAGACGATCGGATGCCCTCGTTTTTAAGGAGAGTCACAGCAGTTGTTAAGTTAGCAGCAGGGTTGTTAAACGACTCTTGACTTCCCCCTTGACTTTAAAGAGGATGGCATGACCTCCGGGGACACTGCGACGGTCATAAATACGAGTCAAAGGCCAAGCACCTGAATTTTAATCATGAGGATGCTGCAGTGGTCATAAGTGCGCAAAGCAATTGTCAGTCCCGTTTCCCTGGGCCGTTGTAAGTGCGAACGGTCACTAAACAAACAGTCGTCAAGTCGAGGACTCCCGTTCTAGGAAAAGCCCCCTCCCCCCCATTGCTCTGCTGGGTAACCAGGAAAGAGGGTGAGGGAGGCTAAGTTCCTCTAAGCGGGACAAGTGAAAGGGCAGCAATTCCCCAGAAAGGAAGATATGACGACTTTATTTTCAAATTGTCCTCCCTTTCCCAAAGGGGCAGCCGAGCAGAAGGTAAACACTGATCAAAATTGCTTTGCAGCTCCCCGGAGAGAGGGCTGAGTTCAGCCAAGCAGCCTCTGTGCTGGAACAGTTAGACGTCCTGAATTTCCTCAAGCGGCCTCTGGAGTTTTGGAGGGTCCCTTCTGAGCCAGACAAACAACAACAGGGGGAAACAAAACGGAGGAGACACGCTCGCTTTCCTTAAAAAAAACAAAAAAAAACATCTCGACCTGCTTCTGGGTGACGGAAGCCCTTCAGGCCTTATTGTGTGTGACTTTGGAAGAAGTCTCGCCCACCGAAGCTGCCAAGCCAAGGGAAAAGTGGAAGAGAAACTTGACTTTCTGTCTGTTTAGAAAACAGGAGTTTCGTCGTACGGAGAAGCATCAAACCAGGGGTGTGTGTGTGTGTGTGTCCAATCTTGGCTACTTTAAGGCTGGTGGACTTCAATTCCCAGAATGCCCCAGCTAGCATTTCCCCAGCCTTTACCTATATTATGAAACCTGTATGAGCGTGGTATGCACAGACACACAATGTCAAGGTTGGAGAATCTACTGTGTCATGGCTGAATTAGCCAACTGGAGGCTGGCTGGGGAATTCTGGGAGCCGAAATCCACAGGTCTTAAAAGTTGCCAAGATTGGATACCGTCCAGCCTTGGTTTACGGATGGAGCAAAAGAGAGAAATAATACTTAGAGGAGACTGTAATGCTGGACACCTTGTGTAATTTATAATTTCCATAATATAATTTAGTATAATTTATTCTTGCTCTTTGGCATGACATGCCCTTGAATGATTTTTTTTACTTCCATTCAGTCGTGTCTGATTCTCAGAGACAGCCTGGAGAAGACCCTGCTGTTTGCTAGGCAAGGTTTTTTCAGACATAGTTAGACATTGCTTCCTTCCTAGGGCTGGGAATGAGGCTTGGCCCAAGGTTACCTAGCTGGATTTGTGCTCAAGGCAGGACTAGAATTCACAATCTCCCAGTTTCTTGCTTCCTATCTTAAAAGTTCTTGATAGTTTTGCTGTTTTTGCAACCGATTTCAAACTTGATGTTGTTGGAGAAAGTTGACTTATCAATGATGAATTGGACGATGCATCTACTGGTTGATCGTTGTGGAACTAAGTGAGGCTCCTGAGATATTTAAGGGCTCCTCAGAATAAGACCTACTATGTTCCTTGGCCTGGATTCTCTTGCAAAAGGCAGCAGAACTGCATCTGATGCCTCCTCTCTAACTCCTGGTTTCTCCTTCTCTCTCTTGCAGGGGAAGTTCTACCTGGTCATTGAAGAAGTAAGCCAGTTGTTCCGTTCCCTGGTCCCCATCCAGCTGTGGTATAAGTACATCATGGGGGATGATCCATCCAGCAGCTATTTCCTTGGGGGAAGTCTTATCATCATGTACAGCCTCTGCAAAGTAAGGGGTCACTCTGAATGCCTATGGAGATTCTCCATCATCCTGGTCATGGTTGTCCCAAAGGTGCTTCTTCAAAAGGCAACTGGACTTTGTTTTTCCTTGAAGACCTTTCGCTTCTCATCCAGGAAGCTTCTTCAGTTCTGGCTGACCCTAAGCCTGGGTTCTTTAGTCAGAACTGAAGAAGCTTCTTGTGTGAGAAGAGCCTGTTTTGGTACCGACGTAGGCACGAAACGGAGAAACATTGGTAGTAGTAATAATAATATGTCATTGTGTATAACTTCCGTGGAGTCCACCCCAAGCAACAGAGAGATTCAGGGTGCCTGAAAGACTTCCAAATTTATTCTCTGGGACAAATTGACATGAATATGCTTGCACCGATTAGCTGGCTTGGGAAAGCTTGTACAGTCATAAATGTGTTAAAGTCTTTAAGATGCCACGTAGTTCTTGGCTGTTTGGTTAGTCGTCTGTGAATTTTTAATCCGTATAATTGTCTCACTGGAAATGCAAAAAAGAAAGAGAAGGGCTAGAGAAAAAACCACGGAATCGGGTCCCTGGTGCCCAAAAGCTTGGGAGTTGCTGTGCTGCAGGGCCATCTCCTTTCTTTCTAGTACCATGTTTGCCACTTGCATCAGGAAAGGGATATTTTACTCCCCGCTGCATTTTGTCCTTTGAATTCTCCTACATTATGTCATGTCATATCTGGACTAGCAATATGCATTAGCATTTCAACTCGAGTACATGGCCAACAAAAACTTTATTTTCCTCCATTGCAACTTCCCCTTCCCTGAGTTTCTCCTTCTCCCTCTTCCATTCTAGTCTTTTGACATCTGCGGCCGTGTGGGAAGTGTGACCCGGGCAGTCAGAGTCCTCTGTGCTCCACAGGTGGGTAAGCAGCTGTTCGCCGTTCTAAACTTGAGGTAACTCTATCTCGGGTAGGCAACCTTGGCTCTTTGATGACTTCAATTCCCAGAATTCCTGAGCCAGCATGGCTCAGCTTGGAAACCTCTCCCTTTCCCCTCAGCATGGCTGGCTCAGGAATTCTGGGAGTTGAAGTCCATGAGTCATAAAAGAGCCAGTGTTGCCTATCCCTGCTCTACCTCTTTGGCAACTGTACAGAAAGTTGTTGTTCTTGTGTTAACGGAGAGGTTGGCTTGGAAAACTCAGCCTTCCCGATTTCTATGGGGAGTTTGAGATCGTGCCCTCACCCCTGACCAGTAAGGAAGAGCTGAGAGTGGACTTCGCCGCCAGCCATTTTGATCATAATAATTGTTTTTGAGGATTTGAAAAGGGGATGGACAGGTTTGAGGGAATCAGCTCCCAGTGGCTGCTAATATTATGATTTTCTACTCCTTCCTGTAATGAAGGAAGCTGTCAACGCTGCTAACATCGGATGTTTTTGCATTGACAACAGAGGGAAATGTAGCCATCTTTTTCCTTTTGCTTTTAGAGTTAGATGATGCTGGGGTGTGTGTGAACGAGAGTCCAGCTAGACATAACAACACCAAACCTAGCGTGAGAAACAAGGTTATTGTAACAGAGCTGATAAGGAATTGGCACGCTGGAGAGCTGGAGAGGAAGTCTGCGCTTCAAGCTAATTGGGGAATGTGATTTATGATTGTCAATTGGAGGAGGGAATTGTGTTTTGATACTATATGCTCAGAGGAGGGGAATTCAGTTTTTGGCTTTGATTTTGCAGTGCCAATATTATGCTGCTCAAAATAAAGGTTCTTTAAGATGAAACAATGCCTTGAAGTTCTTTTGAAGAGTTTCCACGTCTTTCTCTAGCATCATCTCCTCTTAACTCTGAGCTTTCTTCCCTTCGATAGAGCTACGGGGTCCGTGCGACCAACCAGCAGTGCAGCGAGGCGGGAGACATCTGTGCCATCTGCCAGGCTGAATTTAGAGACGCGGTGATGCTCTTATGCCAGGTTGGTTGTTCATTCTGGTTTCTGGAGAAGCCCAAGACAATCGGGACCAATGAAACTCTGATCACGGTAGTCATGGGGAAGGAGGATAGAGCAGATGAGTTGGGGAGGGGGGGGGGAAATGGCCAGAAGGGTAAATAATGTGGGCTTCCATAGGTTTTTTTTTTAAAGGGGGGTCTTCTTCAGATCCAGCTCAGCTGACAATTTCATGGAAGATGTTCTGTTTGGTAACAATAAGGAAGCCAACAAAGAACGGCTGCAGGGCTTAGGTTTGGCCAGTCTAAAGAAAAGAAGAAATAGGGGAGACATGATAGCAGGGTTCCAATATCTAAGGGGCTGCCATAAAGAAGAGGGAGTCAAGCTATACTCCAAAGTGCCTGAAGGCAGGACGAGAAACAACAGTTGGAAACTGATCAAAGAGAGAAGCAACCTAGAACTAAGGAGAAACTTCCTGACAGTGAGGACAATTAACCAGTGGAGCGACCTGCCTCCAGAAATCGTGGGCGCTCCATCATTGTCAGTTTTTAAGAAGAGGCTAGACCAGGGCTGTCAAACTGCCAGCCCGCGGGCCAGACGCATCACATGGAAGCCGTGCCCACCCCATTGCCGGCAATAGCAAAACCAGCCCAATACGTTGCGTGACGTCACGTGACGTCGCGAGTTTGACATGCCTGGGCTAGACGGTCACTTGTCTGAGATGGGATAGGTCCTCCTGCTTGAGCAGGGGGCTGGACTAGAAGACCTCCAAGGTCCCTTCCAGCTCTAGTCTATTCTATGGACCATTGCAGCCATCTGCTTCAACTTACTGGTTTAGCCTGGGATCCTCTGGTGAAGTCTCCTGTCCTGTCTGGTCCCACCCACGTGTTCCTTTTTTTTATCTTGGCAGCACGTTTTCTGTGAAGAGTGCCTCTGCCTCTGGTTTGACCGGGAGAAGACCTGTCCACTCTGCCGCTCTCTGGCTGTGGAAACCCTGCGATGTTGGAAGGACGGTACCACTTCTGCTCATTTCCAGGTGTATTGACTTGCGGGATACCCCAAGAAATGTTTGCTGAGAAGACACCCTAGTGAGGAAGGGTAAGAGGGAGCATTCTCCAGAATATCTCTGTGGAATCGCTGTAGCTTCCCCTTCCTGCATGAGGCAACTTGCTAGTTCTTCATCTTCTCTCTGGAGCATCAGTAATTGGTGGAAACTTAAATGTTGACGTCCTTGTGGCCCTTCCTTGCTGGTCGAACTGCTTTACTCCAAAACAACTGGGCACTTATTTGAGGTCCTGAGTACATCTGTTCTATCACCAGGAACCCTGGGGGGGGGGTGCAGTGGTGTAAAGTACAGCAAACTCTGCCCACAGTCAGGAGTTCGATCCTGACCGGCTGAAGGCTGTACTCAGCCTTCCATCCTTCTGAGGTCGGTGAAATGAGGACCCAGATTGTTGGGGGCAAAATGCTGACTTTGTAAACCACTTAGAGAGGGCTGTGAAGCATGAAGCGGTATATAAGTCTAAGTGTTATTGCGATCTTCCCTTCCTTCCCCTTCTCCTTCCTTCCTTCTTTCCTTCTTTCTTTCCTCCCTCCCTCCCTCCCTCCCTCCCTCCCTTCAGTGGTTAGATTGCAGCATTGCAGGCTGATTCTGCCCCCTGCCAGGAGTTCAGTCCTGGCCAGCTCAAGGTTGATTCAGCCTTCCCTCTTTCTGAGGTTGGTAAAATGAGGACCCAGGTTGTTGGGGGCCATATGCTGACATTGTAAACCACCCAGAGAGTGTTCTAAAGCACCATGAGGTGTATATAAGTCTAAATGCTATTGTTATGTCTTATATAGCTTTTGAGAAATATAATAGATAATTAACTGATGGAACTCATAATGACAAGGTGTGGAATTGGGCCAGCTTCACAAATACCTCTACCTCTGGCTACTAATTGTGAGGTCTAAATAGACCCTCTATATCTAGAGGCATTTAGTCATTGGAGACAGCAATAGGAGAGGATCACTGTCTTCAAGGTCTAAGCGTATCCACATCTGGTCAGCCTCTTTTGGAAACAATAGATGTCAATGAATTTCATCTCTAATCCAGCAGGATCGTTTGGATGTTGTGAGAGAAATTTTGATTTCCTTTCGTCCAGATGAGCTGCTTTCAAAAGATGGTCATAAGTGATTGATGTCATCCCTTTCTTTGTATGCGATGGTCTGAGAATACAGCATCTGCCCTGGTTCCTCTGGGTTTTGTTGTTCAAACGTTGGGCGGAATATTTGTTTCATTGTGTTTCACATCTAACTGCTAATAAAGCTTCATTTACCCAGGTGTATTGAAAATAAGTCAACTGTGCACAACCCCATTCATAGTCTGAAGAAAGCTAAGAAGAAGAAATTAATTTGCATGGTTTGGTTGGATGTGGTCTCCTGGATTTGCAATTTCCTGCGCATCAAATGATAGCAGGATGGTTTTGGAGATGGTTTGGAGAAAGCTAAACTCAAAGGCCACTTTTTTTAAAAAAAGACCAGGCTGAGGAAACGATTGATGTAAAGAATTGCAAAATATAGAGTTTTAATCTTTGCTGCATACAATGGGCCCGTAATGTCCTAACTTATGAAACATGTGAACACAAAGGCAAGATTTGTCTGGTTTTATGTGGGGTCCTTGGTGCTCTCTGAGCTTGGTTCTTTTCTTGCAGATGTTTCATGACCCAAGTAGGCAACATCATCAGTGCTAGAAGGGAGTGGGGTTTGCAGAGGGGAGGAGAAGGAGGAGGAAGACTGTGGGGTCCTTAGTGCTGAGTTTGGCTGTTTTCTTGCAGGCGTTACATTACTCAACTAGGTAACGTTATCAGTGCTAGAAGAGAGTGGGGTTTGTTCTCATTGTCTGGTTTTAGTTTGGCACGCTATGGAAACATCCACTATTGTGATGTGCACACCAGGAAACGCCTTAACTCAGTGTGTGAACGTGGCCCATCTTGATTTATTCAACATTAGGCAAATCATGTCTTTCTGTGACGTGGTGGCTCAGCTTTTACTTGAGGGAGCAATCTTTAAAGCAGGGGAAATCTTGCGAACAGTTTCCTTCATGGAGATGGTGAAGAACCCAGGAGTTATCTTTTTCGACAACCCCATGTGCTAAATCGGATTCCCGTTGGGGAACACATTGTCCATCAATTTTTTGGGTGGGGATACATAGCAAGGACCTTGTCTGGCATGCTTGGTTCTAACTGTTCACACGTGATCTTTTCACGATCTACTTTGTTTTGAATGAAGAGCATTCCTCTTTGGCCTTTTTCACACTACTAACCCAAGTGTGGTGTACGTAACTGCAGCTAGAACACAATTGCGAGTATGGAGTCAGAATTTCCAGAATCCACTTTCTTGGTGTCTCTCCAAGCTGTCATAACTTTTTGTTTTGCTCTTCTTGTTGAATTAAGACTGAGAAAATGACTTTGAACCAATTCTGATTCTATTATTATTATTATTATTAATAATAATAATCGCACAGTCAGCCAGATGTTCAGACTTTGGCATTTTTGTCTACCTATCGAGTCCTTCCCAAGGACTTGAGATAGGCAGATGTGGATGTTTGATGGTATTACAGATCTCGTCGCAGGATGGAAGCAGTTCCTAGTAAGGCCGCCTTTTGCAATTGACTAATGGAGAATTTGTCAATGCCAATGATGGTGTTCAAGTGGTGCTCCAGTTGTTTTGGGATTGCACCCAAGGCGCCTATGACTATTGGTACTACCCCTGCTTGCCTTTGCCACAGTCGTTCTATTTCTGTTTGTAGGTCTTTGTGTTTCTCCTCAGTTGCTTTTCTCCTTCATTAGTTTCCATCTGTTGCTTCTTGTCCTGCCTTCAGGTGCTTTGGAGAACAGCTTGACTGCCTCTTCTTTGGGGCCACCCCTCAAATATTAGAACCCTCCTATCATGTTGCCCCTGGTCCTTCTCTTCATTAAACTAGACCTACCCAGTTCATCAATGACATGATTATCACCCAGTTCATCCCATGATTATGGGGATGGCAGTTGTAAATGTGAGGACTGGTTTCAGTGCTGTTGTACCTTCAAACAGTCGCTAAATGAATGGGTTGTAAGTCAAGGACTTGTATTTCTACTGTGAGGATGATGATTGCGTCAATGATCACCAAAGTTGTTACGCTTCGTCCTAGTTTAGCTTGCAAGATTATTGTGTGTGGCCTTGGGTGTGTAATGAGTGAATTCAGTATGGACCAACATCTAATTTCATACAAATGCACTTCCCATTCCCTTCCACAAAGGGTTCATTGGTACAAAATCCCATCTTTTTGGCACGCTCCCTCCGAAGGTTCTCAAGAATAAAGGACACGGAATCAGAAAAATAAATAAAGCAACAACTGGGATCCTTTTCTTATTCTTATTCTTTTTTAATAAAGTCAATATAAATATGTACAAAGTCTCCAGCATAGGAAATTCCTTTTACAAAAGGGGGAGGATAAAAGCCCTGTCGAACCGCAGAGGAAATTTCGAAACGGATTCCACTTCATCCGCGAGATACCTCAATGAGATTTGAAGGGGATTCTAAATTCAAAGCCATTCCCATCTTGGAAAGATCATACAGCTGCCTTTGAATCTCTGGTTGGCTGTTTGCCAGCAGTTCCTTATATCTCTGGTGTAGAAGGAATTTTTGAAAACTCCTCCGTAGCTTCTTGCAGCCAAAAATTTTACACCCCCCCCATTCCCTGCGTATTTATTTGAAATATTTAGTTCTTGCTTGTTCGGCGTGTGTTCCTGCTAACTTTTAACTTGGAGAGAAAACCATCCTCATGTCATGGCATTAAAAATAGGAGGGAATGAATATTAATGTGGAATGGCCTCATTTCACATTAACAAAACACTGATAGATGAGAATCTTTGTAGCTCAAGATTGAAATGTGGGGTACTTGGTGCTCTCTGAGCTTGGTGGTTTTCTTGCAGACGTTTCATGACCCAACTAGGTAACACCATCAGGGCTAGCAGGGAATGGAGATTGCTTTCATTTTCATTTTATATAAAGCTCACTAGTTTGTCTATTCACCAGTAGATAAAAATGACAACAAACGCTGTTCCTTTCTAGCACTGATGATGTTACCTAGTTAGGCAATGAAACATCTGCAAGGAAACCACCAAGCTCAGAGAGCACCATGGTCCCCAACGTTAATGAAATAGCCTGGTGAAACAAATTTATCTATGATGGAAATGAGATTTAGAAACTCAAGCTTTATCTCTTCAAACTGTGTGTTTTCTGCTCCTACCCACCAAAACCTGTCCCGTAAAACGGGGAGAGGCCGGTTGGCGGATTTTAATCAAGAGATTCCAGAATGGAAGGGAGGATTTGATCTATTTAAGGAAGACCAGGAAGAGCCAAACAGATAAAATGAGTTTGAACCGTTCGATGAAATTAACAAATCGAATGAACAGACAGGGCAGGCCAAGTTAGAATTGCCTGACAATTGTGAGCATTGCTAAACTAGTTAATTCTTAAGTTAGCTGTCTTTGTGGGGGCGGAAGGAATATACATTGCAAGGTATGAATGATTTTTGCGTGTTAAATCCATTTCAGATGGGCGTTTCTCTGTGTTTGGTTTTGTCTGTAAGACTTTTGCAGTTCTGTACTCTTTGGAATCACGAAGGGGTGTTTTTAACTGTGTGAGGAAGGAAGAAACAGGGAGCCTGGCCCTTAGTTTCTTGATGTTGTGTGAAAGGCCGCTCCCTCCAAGACGGCAAAAATTTGTGACTTCTTTTATTTATGTGTTGCACCCTGAAACCTTCATGGACAAAAAGAACACATCCTGGTTTCTGAGTCTTTTGTGGAGAAGAAATATTTAAAAGGTAGGGCTGTAGCACCTTGGAAAAATGGTCTTCAGAGTTAAGGTGGGATTTAAGAAGCTACTTTAGGAGCTCCATCTGCTGCGGAAGTTTTCTTAGGTACATTCAATGCAATAAGAGATTTTTTCCTTCTTTTCTCTTTTGTCAAACTAAAAAAAAAAAATCGTTTGGATTTTAAGCGTCGCCAGCCCCTCAAGTGATGAAGTGGCTGGAGACAAATGAATCCGTAATATAAAATGGGATTTAAGGGTGGAAAGCGTGCAAGGAAGTGGATTTTGACTCACTGTGCCAAGGAATTCAATAGCTTCGCTTGGGAAGAAAGCAATTTTTGTTCATATCACAGGAGGGAGGGGGGGGCTTTCAGCTGAGGCTGGCCAAAATTTATTGGTGAAACTGGAGTTGCCTTTTGCACTGTAGGTCTCCTTCGAAGAAGGGGCTGGACTACATGACCTCTAGGCTTTCTTCGCATGCTAAAAAGTTTCTGTTAATCACGAATGAGGATCTACTCACACAGCAATGGAGCCGAGGCAGGGGGACATCCCACCCATAGGCGGTCCCCCCCCCCTTCAGTTTGCATTAATGAAGGTGAAAGCATG